AAGAGTCCTAAGATACTCGAAGTAGACGGTACTCCTATAGATTACGTAATAGGGGAATTACTTATTATTAAGCTTATATAAGAATCCTAAAATACTTAAAAATTAAATAGTACTTTTATAATTACTTATAAAGTATAATTAATAAGCTTATATATAGTAAATATATTATTTATAAGATCGATCCTAATTTCTCTAGCTCTAATTATTCTATATTACGTTAAATATAATACTAATTAATATTAAGAAGGCTTTACTATTTATATAAACCTTAATCTAGTACTTCCGTTATACTTATAAGCTCTAAATAGGTAGGGTATCTAATAAGTCTTATAATAGTTAATTCTTATATAATTCTTATCTACTTCTCTGAGTTACTACTACTTACGTAAGTTAGATATACCTATCTGCTCTCAGCGATTACGTAAGCTATAGTTCACGTGCTCCTGGGAGCAGTGGATCCCAGATATCCTAGATACCTTAGATATCACCATCCTAGCCACAGAGTTCCCTAATATTGGTTCAATAGTAAAGGTTATAATGTGCTGCAGCCTAGAGTCGGGAAACCGCTGACCTCCTCGGTACGTGTCAATTGCCCTGGGTACGATGGCTGGCCGATTCCTGAAGAACTATATGAGAAACCCCAGGTTTTATCATTTACCAAGACAAGATCACTCTAGGAGACCAACTCAACTGCACAGAAGAGTTAAAAGTAACGTACCCTATAAGAATTTACTGTTCCAACAAACCCACGAAGAGCGCCTCATTCGCACGCTAATAAGCTCATGAACGGTAAGATATGTGGAAATACTTGGGCTCGTCGCAATTCGAAACGTGCCAGAACTCATGAATCTTTCCCAAGCTCGCCGATAAAGGCGAAAAGCCGTAATGCCTCCATTAAGTACCGCTCTCCAGCTCGTCTTTCAACGCTTGTAAGAAGACATTGATCTGAAAGAAGGGCTGTATGAGAACGACTTTTGAGTCGAATCCTTGAAGTAACTTGATGAGTATCATAAAATTGCTGCTCAGACTCAAGATGAACTCAATGGCCTTATAGACGTAGGTCAAAGCTACACATAGCCCGCTCGGTGAGTCTCGGCCAATCCTTCCAAAGCCTTTTCAAGTGAGAAGACCATGCCCCTAGTCTTTCGCCAGCGAGAGCTGAAGATGGCCCTGCTAGTCATGTAGAAATCCAGAGTCGCATGACCCAGAAGATATAAAAGGAATTATGCCATAGGAAAATTGTTATGGACGAGCCCCTCTTCGGAAACCTACTTTTACAGCTCGCCCCCGGTAACTCTCTCCGCAAGCGGCGAGAGATCTTGACACCCCCGCTTCCTTCAGATCTTGCCTCTCGGAGACCAAAGGTTCCCTCTGATGACAATATAATAACCCGTAGTCCCTCAAGTGCTGTGACGTTTCAGGTGCATGCAAGTTTGTCAGTGTTGTTTCCGTATCATTATAGCATTTATGCAACATTGTGGCAAACGACGGCCGAATCAGTGGACTCGGTATTCTGAAAATATGAAGCCTCAGCAGTCTCATGATATTATCGCAAGCTCTTTGAAACATGTACTACAGGCGGGGGGGGGGCCAGGGCGTGGTGCAACGTGGAGGGCAAAGCAACAGAACACCTGTAGACATTCTCACGTTAAGCACCGCGAAACCATTCTGAAAGTCTTGAAGAATGCAAGGAATTACAGCAATGCGTTCAAAGTCTGTCGTGCTTTCAAAGCACTGCAGCCTAGTCGAGACGGTAAACTTTGGGGGATCACTAGCTCGTTGAACAAAACGCAAATAAGTACCGCCTTGCGCTTCCATTGCACGCTATATTCAAGGTCAAGTCGGGGTTAATTGCCATACTATCAAGGTAGAGAGGCTCGATACTGAAGGTGGATAGGGCCACACACTGGCATCCATCAACCTAAACGTCAAGGTGCCAAGAAGTTCCCAGAAAGCTCTATCAAATTGGATGGGAACACGCAAATGTATATGAGCTTTAAGCTATGAGGGCCCATCACCTGTACTCGCAGCATCTGACGAATTTCGATTGACTCCATCTTTTCTGGTGGTGAGTGAAATGGTTAAGGCCATGTCACCCCTGGATCAAAAGGTTTTCCGCCAAGATACCATGTGACGAACTCGAGCATGAGTTTACGACTCATGTCTTTACTAGCCGGGTGTCATTGCTCCGGACCTAGGGCTTGGTTCAGCCTATTCTGATTGCGAGGCCTGAAGCCCGGTAACCGGTTGGGTTGCAGCGCTGACGCATGTCATCGAGATCTATCGACGATCAACTGGATTTCTGGAGTTGGGAAAAGCCCGCTTCAACGTGCAGGAACCCGGACACTAGGGATTCGTATCTCGCAGTGCATCGCCGAGAGTTGACAACTGTGGGCTCGCTCCGCGGTTATCGGGTGCGATCCCCTGAACAGCCTCGACATTCGGAGTCAAGGCTACGGTGTTGGCAATGGATCTCCACTTTCCGGAGGTACCTCCGAAAGATGCCACGGAAAGCGCTGGGCATTCGCAAAACGGACTGCCGGTGCCCGGTCATTAACAGCAGAAAGATATTTACAAGCCTGTGTTCTGTGGGGCATCCAAGCGGAAGTTTTGGGTAGAGAGAGAACCGGCAGAGAATCGCATGAGCTTTATCTTTCCAACGCCCTCGAGGCTACTTGTTACTGCAATCCCCATGTTTTCCTGAATAGCGCATGGCAGGCAGGCCATATCAATTGACAACACATACTGCTAGAAAGCGGCAGGCTCTAGCACAGCCGAATCAGACCCCTTGAGTGTAAACAATACTGGTCAAGCGACCAGGCATTTGCCCATATTGCAGGATGCATTGGAGGACCTTCAGTTGCCTTCTCCAATCAGTACATCCCTAATGGCCGCTTGGCAGGCGGGAATAAAGGGGGATAGCTGATCGTTGCCGCATAAGCGTACCCCATAGCTCGTCTGTCACTGGCAGCTTGTTCACAAGGGTGTCCATGTCTGTGTGCCTGTTTGATGGGGCTGGTAAAACTCACTGTTACAATCCCACTGCCTTTGGTGTCAAGACCCTACTTGCGCTGATCGGCCGGACATACATGACTGGATGATCTGGTAGCCGTTTAAGATGTGTCACCCGACGTGTTGATTTTTTTTCCCTGCTAGCGTTTTGATCAGTTGTCGCATTTCGGCAGGGTGCCACTGCACGCGCCCATTGCGTCGCGCGTCGTCATGCAAAGGTAGGGTGCAGGGTGAATGACCATAAAGTTACAGGGCTATGCGAGTTCCAATTCACTCATCAGGTTGTAATTTGAGCGGATGCTCATGCCTGTTAATGCCGTTCTGCTCTAGTCCTTGCAGTCAACGTCGCGCAAACAGCCGAATATGCCATCTCAGTTCTGCGAGAGCCGCAGCTCCAGGGTGTCCAACATCAAGGCCGAAACAATCATCAAGCTTGGCTACCACCCGTGCCCAGCCAGCCAGCCAGCCGCCGAGAGGAAACAGCTCAAGTGGCTCCCCTGAGGATACCCGCTAGGCTCAATCGACGAGGTTTGTGCTGTTTGAGTGGTCCTGTGCTGTGATGACGGCATTTTCTGAGCTCTATCTCACGAGCGTGGGGTTTGTTTTCTCCTTGTTCTCCACCCTACCGTTCCTTTTGAGAATCATTCATGAGGCTAAGACCTCCCTAGTTCATTCCCCCTCCTCCTCCGAGCTAGGGCCCGCCAGCAGCCACGTTGGGTTACTGACTTACAAGGCTGGGGCTGAAGTGGGTGGCCGTCAGGGGGCAGACAGCGAGACACGCCAGGTCTAGATCCAATCGTCGAGAGTCTCTCTAGGTTTACGCCTGCTGGGAATGCTGCCTCTTCACTTGTCGCAATCCTCACTTGACAATGATGCCCAATAAACATCGGAAGCCTTCTTGAACGCTGTGGCGACTGGCAATGCCCATCCCCTGGCCAAGCCACACTAGACGATAGATCCCGCCTGCAAGTGCACCCCCTGACGCACAACCTGACGGGCAGAGCGGTGGCGGATATTTGGAGAGGGGAAAAAGTGTGGAAAGCGGCCGTTTGCACGCACCTTGGCGAATAATGCGGAGCATTTGCTCCGCCAGTATGGATCCACGTCCAGAGAAATCCTGCCTCTTCCTCTGTCTCTGTCAGAGGTCGTCTCGATAGCCCACGAGTTCCACGTTTCCGCGGTCCCCCCGCATCGACAGCTCAGTGATCTTCCAACATTTTTTTAACCCTCCAGCGTGGTATGGCTGCCCGAGGCCGCGGTACGGCACATGCTTCCGGGGGTTGTCTGTCCCCAGACGTCCAAGAAGATAGATAGGTGGACTCATACAACCCATACCATCACGCAGGTCACGTCACAGTCCAGTCACTTGAACTATTCCTACTCTAATTTTTTTCCCCTTTACCTCTATCCCTCTCTCCTGCCACTCGGGCCGTTGGTTCATATCCGCAGAGCCAGCCTAGACCGCCCTGTATCACGACCAATTCGCCTCCCAAAAGGCCCTTCTCCCCTTGCGCCCCTGGCATCCCCAATGGATTGTAGTAGTGGTCTGAATTCCCATGGACGTCTTTGCGCATCTCTCCCATCTTCCCCATTTCTTCCTACATCGAGATTTGCCCTGCCTGGTCGCTTCAGTCTAGATCGACGCCTGCCACGGCCCCCGGGAATCTAGGTCGCCGATCCCCCCCGACTTACATTTCGCCCCCCCTCGATCACTCTCACCTGCAATAGGCAACTTAGACAGTATTCATTGTTGTGCCACTTCCAACATAATTTTCGAAGCCCTCAAGCGCCCGGCGTCTTTCACAGTTCCTTCACAGGCACACATAGACGCAGACATCCGCCTGACCTCGTGACGAAGCGTCCCAAACGTCCAGAAGCCATCCTCAGCCATCGCATCTATTATTGAATTGATATCCCCATTTCTTCTCCCTCTCTCTCTCTTTCTCACTCTGGCTTTCACAAGGCAGCTTGTGATAGCCTACGCGGCAATGTCTTCTCCTTCGACAAACCGAAAGCCGCGCGTCTGCACTCGAGAGGCTTGTGAACCATGCCGAAAAGGTCGATCAAAGGTCAGTCAACTAGCTGGAGCATGTCCTAATCTCGTATGTCACTGAGCGATGGAGAGGTGGGAAACTGACAGGGCTGGCTCTTTCTAGTGTGATGGACAGACACCATGCGCACGATGCTCGTCGCGGGGACTCGAATGCGAGTACCAGGCTCGGATCCACCGCAGCAAACGCAGCCTCAGAGACGAGATTGAGGTACTCAAGCAACGGCAGCGCGAGCAGGACGCGCTGCTTGAAGCGCTGCAGGATCCCCTGCGCAGAGACGCCGCCTTGCACATGCTCCAGGAGAGAAGCCGTGCGGCCGCGGTCATGAACGACAGTGACTTGGGCCAGCAACAGACGGACATGCCGATCAAGCAGGAGGAGAGGAGACATTCCGACGTCAGCAGCTGGAACAACTTTGACGACATGAGGGCGTCGTCTGGAAGCCCGCTACAGGGGTTCACCTCTAGTTCGACAACGCGCCCGATGGTCGCGACGACCCCTCAGATGGCTTGGACTACGACTGGTCCATCCATGAGGCCTGACACGAGCGTGACTTCCGGCATGGAGACTGGCGCGTTCCAAGCACCTGCTACGACGGCAGCATTCGCTGGTCAGCTCGGCCATTTCGTCCACAGTGGGAACGACTCGGAGCCGTCTCCCCTGCAACAACAAATGCCAATGGGCAATTATCCAGATGGTTCGGCGGCGCCATTGCCCTTTCGAATGCAAAACAACGACTGGAACAAAGACGCTGCTAGCAGCCAGATGTCCTCGCAGCCTTGGATGGGCGCGTCGCCGGCTATGGTAGGTCACGTACCTCTGCAGCAACAGCAACAACCAGGCAAAGGTGCGTATCACGTTGGAGGCGTTTATCACCCGTCGTGGGAGAAAGGCGCAGGCTTCAGCAGCGCCCCGATGCATGGTCCCCCCGACGGAATGGAGTGGACGCAAGGCCCGGGATTCACACCAGTAACAAATCCCAGCACCTCTTCGTTTCCTCCCAACCTGACCACCCGGCCTGCTAGCCCGTCAACTCGCGAACGAACTCGAGCTCGACGACAGCCTCCTCCGGGACGACACAGTCATCGGCACCCTCCATGACTTCGGCCACCCCGAGCGTGGGCGGCTTGCCATTCTCCCCCTCCATGAAGCCTCCGCCTCCCGTCTCCTTTTTCGAACCGGTGGACGAGTCCGGACGCCGGCAGAGCATGCCGGATTGTAGCACAGTCACGGCGGATACGGCACCCATCGAAAGCGCCGACGCCCGCGAACGCCATCGCATCGCCTCGGCCCGGAGCTGGAGCAAACAGAAAAGCGCCATCGCAGACCTGCAGGCCACTGTGTCTCGCGTCGAAGCGCAGCACGCCGCGCTGCGGCAAGAGTACACGCAGGTGCTGAATCAGGTTCACGACGTCCACAACGCGCTACTCAAGCACGTGGGTTGCAACGACCCCGCCATATCCATGTGGCTCAAGCAGGATCAGGAGGCATCGACGGCGGGCATGAGTCGGGGGAAGCCAGGGCCCCCGCGGCCGACAACGAATGAGTTTGTTGCAGAATTTTCTCATGATGCATTCTGAGCGGGCATGAGACGGAATATCACGATACCAAGAGGGCGCATCCGCAAATGGCTTGGCAAGGGAGAGGAGTTGGATATCCAGTAGAGTGATCTTTGGAGTTCCTGGCATCCTGTTACTTTTCAGCGCAAATCACATGGCGACCATAGACGACAGCAACTTCGAGGCGTTCCGGGGAAAGACACTCTTTGATCCAACGGGCAAACGGCATATCATGATCGGAAGGTCAAACGAACACGGCTGATTTATCAGCAAAAAGGGGGGGTGGGAAGGACATGCAACGATAGGAACCAAACGCGTGAATACGAAACTTGCGTCATAACACACATTATCCGGCGGCTACGCGTTACCCTGTCCCATAATCATCCAGTAAGCGGCCCACCTCTTGAAAAGGTGTAGACATTGGCAGAGGTTTTCATTTCGGAACAAGTACAATCATCGGAGGCGGACATAGTGCCGGCCCATCCAGCACGAATTGACTTCAAGCAACGCTTGGCCACGTCCACAGCACGGGGGGGGGGAGTAGGTCCTACCCTCCCTTAAAGTAAGGTACTGGGGGCATTTTTTCTCCGGGCTGCCAGTCGCGAACATGTGAGCTAAGCTACTTCTCGAAAGGGCTTGCGAAGGATCGCGGCCTAATTAGTCTTGTGGTTTTAGTATGGGTGTTAGGCTATTGAACTAAAATGTTGTTTCGATTGTCTCACAATGCCGTGTCGTAAACCAAGCATCACTCTCTGCCCCATCTGCATCTGGGCAGTAAGTCTGCCTGATAGCTCCGTGATGCAACCCATCAACAGCTGTCGGGCCGTGTAGGGGCCACAAGGATGCAGGGAAGGTGGGTTCTCTCACGGCTCCGGGAGCTGTTCCGAAAGGCCACCATGAATGTCTGAGTTGGGGGGGACCACTGCTGTGCTGCACCCAAACCTGCTGGCTAGAGCTTCTAGACCGCTTCCTGGGCTTCTGCACATCACGGGTGCGCCATGGCTCTAGCTACATGCGAGACTGAGGATTCTTGCAAGCCATGACCACCGCTTTTTGGACAGATCTGTCACGGGTTGTGGTTGAGCAGAGAGAACATGGTCGCAGACTGGTATGTAGCAGTCTCAGCCCCTGTACTTTCGAACAAAGAGCATGAGAAAACTAAGCCCCTAGTAAAAGCAAGGAAAGGAACGCAGTCCTTTTCTTTTGCTGCTGTGAAAATCGTCAGTCTCTCAATCATGGCTATTTGCAGGCATGATCAGCAGCCAGCCTCCCTGCGTTTTCGCTCCGATCAGTGACCAACACACCCGATTTTGTGTGTTGAAATCTGATAGCAAATGGGGGGTCGGCTGAGGAATCTCAGAGCCATCGATCAATCGCGTATTCAAGCAAAGTTCTGTACTGTAACAGAGGGGCGGATCCAGGTTTGGCGTTACCTCTCTGTCGAACCTCATAAACCTTCGTCTCTCTTTTACGATGTTCTTCATCTCCCGGCTCACGATTCTTTTTGCAGTTCTGCAATCCAGAACTACGGAGGTCTGGCGCATCATATTCGTTCGGGTGACTAGAATCTGGCTCTGTAAGATCGGCAGCTCACCGTCCATTTGAAATCGGCAGAGGCCCAAATGATGACCCGTCGAAAGCTCTCCCCGCATAAATGGAGAGGATTTGTGGCTCCAGCTCCATGCCGTGAAGTATACGTCAGTGGATCAACATGACATAAGAAATCATGGGGATATGACATGATCTGCAGCCGGGCTCAGTATGCCAGATGGGAGCTCCATCTAATTAACTGTCAGAGTGGTGCTGTGTGCGCACATGATGATGACACAGTTGCTCGAATGGTCTCTCAAGGCAACGTCATGTCGTGATTTTGTAACCTGCGTCGATGTGAGGACGTCAGTATTGATCATTGACATCTCAATAGTTTATAAATGAGATGCATCACAGTCGTTCATGTATTTTGCTCTGAATCAATCCAAACTAGTCAACAGCATCGCAGTGTTTAGGCAAAACAACAAATTTATCAAAACATCGACAAGTAATCCACAATCACCATGGCCGACAACAACAACCCTGGAAACTTTGCCAACCGGTCAGTCAAGCACACTACGCTCGCTTGTGCGGTTCCTAACACTTGACAAGCCCCAAGGAGGAGGTTCAGGAAATTGCGTCCAAGGGAGGCCAGGCCAGTCACAAGGGTGGCTTCGCCAGCATGGACGCCGATAAGCAGGTATGAACCCAAAGATCTCGTGTAACAACCTGTGAAGCTAACGCCACGTCAGCGTGAGATTGCCTCTGAGGGTGGCAAGGCGTCATCGGGCTCTTTCGAGAAGGGCAGCGAGAAGGCCAAGGAGGCCGGTCGCAAGGGTGGCCTGTCTAGCTAGAGAAGTAAAGGACGTGGGTTCAGCCATCGAACTGAATGAATTTGATCCAGTGATAATGGGCAGATTTAATGTTGCAATGTATTCAAAGGTCGTTGCAGGTGATCTTGAATGGCATGCAGTCCGTTGCTGTGTAGCTTGCATGACGCGGGAAATTGAGCAAGTAGTTGGACGTGTGAGCTAGGAATGCTATATACAATACAGCTGAGGCGACAAATCTCAGTTTTCTAGGTAAGCCAGGGATTTCTATACATTTGATAATACAATGGTTGATCACCTTCACAGTCCTGCAATTCGAAGGCTTGCGTCAAGCCAAGGTGTCAGAATGAATAACCTTGGTGCTGACAAGATGCCCGACCCATGACAGCAGCGGACCAGGACCTGGCGCTCAAACTGGGCAATCCAGCAGAAGCACACGTTGATATACACCTCAAGTCGTACGAGGAACGTTGCGACGCTAATAATAGTTGAGAAGCCGGTCGGGGTTCATCATGGCTTGGGCGTGTCGTTGAACGTCATCAAAGCGCATCGCTCCACATGTCTCGCTCTCTAGATGATTGAACAGTCCTCCAGCCATTGAAAACTCCCTGCCGCATCTCGTGCTTGGACAGTGGTACAGCGCCTGCTGGTGGGCTGGAGAGTTCAGATGCTGGTTCAGTGAGGATCGTAGGTTGAAGGCTCGGTGACAGAGGTAACACTCCCATGCGTTGATGAGGCTGTTGTAAGCCCGGTCGGTCACGGCGTACGTAACTTGTTGGACGTGTTTGTTGGTGAACTGGCCGCGTTCGTCGTACCTGGCAATGGCTCGATACAAAAGTTGGCGATCAACGGGGGCATTGGGACATGCACCAGATTCTAGATGGTGGGCAATGCCCCGTAGCGACTGTGTATGCCTTTCGGCAGAAGGGGCAGGATAGATTGGCGCCCAGGTGGACACGGGACTTTAAATGCTGTAACGAGGATCCGGTTAAAACAAGTCCAGGGTGGCAAGTATTCCGAGGTCAAGGCAAGGGCCGTCATTACCTGAGAAATGTTATTGGAATTCAAGAAGTGACGGTCGGTCACATGGGCGACAGTAGCAGTGGCAGTCCACCTCGTGTTGTTCAATATCGTCGAAGAAGTCGAAACAGAATTCGCAGGACACTTCTGTAGAGCGGAGGAACTGGTCCCCCCAGTGGCCCTGCATGTTCATGTGTTGGGCTGCATCCTCCCAGCTGTCGAAATAACGGTCACACGTGTCGCATTCGTACTCGGGGGACCGGTGACCGAGGGCATTCATGTGTTGCTGACGGGCCTGAAGGCTTGTGAACGAACGTCCGCAGTCGCCACACACTGCGTTCAGCGGCATGAACATGTTCTCTGGTAAGTCTCGGTGCCGTATGGGTATTTATCGGTGCAGTGAGATAGGCAGGGTAGGCAGCCAGACTGTTTCTGCGCCGACGCAGTGAACGAGCGCTGTCGTTCGTGGTGGTGTCAGAAATGCGCTGTTGAATGGGATCCGTCCCAGAAAAGGCTCATGGACAAGTCAAGTGCTTCGCGCTCAGTGCGGTCTTGGCGACACAGCGGGATTGATGATCAAACGGATGTGAGGTTCTCGCCAACGTGGCCGATTGATGAATGTGGCTTTGCTTTTCTTTGTGCGGGGCGCAATGTCGGTTCCTCGAACATTGTAGCTGATCTGATTCCGCTTTCCTTAATCCAAGGCACCTACACTGGACCTTGAACCATGGCCCTTGCGTGGCCAGCTACAACCCTGAGAACCCTGGGACACTGCCCAAGATCAAGTGGCATACCTGACCTAGGTACCCTGCGAAGAGTCGGCTTCCTGTTGCTGATGCTGGCATCGCCAGCATTTCTGATGGCGAACCCCTTTGCCGCAAGCATGGTGTTGAAGAACCAGGCAAGGCACGCTCAATTGAGAAGCCAATGTTTGGCATTTACCAGCAGCCCAAGTTGCCTACAGTTCCCTCCCATTCCCGAAAGTGCGGTGCGGAGCACCTCTGCTCCGTTGCACATGAATCGTTGGGAACGGAACAGGCGGCTGTTGCACGAAAACACTCCAAGCACCATCTCATCTGCGAAGTGGGAGTCTTGATCTGAAGGCCACGCAGTGCAGCAAGGTGGGAAGAATACCAAAAGCATGGTTCTCCCAGCTCACTTTAGGTACCAAGTTCGGGTACTTAAACTGAGTTGCCTGCATCGACCGATTCCACCTATCCTTGAACCCGCCGTACTGCCAGCCAGCCATGAGACCAGCAGCCTCTTCATATGAAGGGACTGCCGACATGTCTGACTAAAGCATCAATTCGAGACGACAGCCTCATAGCAATTGCTGACGAAGACGTTCCAGGCCCTGAGGCGGAAATTTACAACGCTCCGGCGCTGGCTACCCCGGATCTTCGAGAACTGTGATCCTGGGAAATACTCAGGGGTCTGAAACCTAGCACGCCCGGAACGCCTTGGAGATTGGTCAACCGCTGGGCCTCGTCGTTTGGTCTTGATGATCGCTGGGCCGATACACGAGTGATCATCTGGTTTTCCGAAAAGTCGGCAATCCGTCGCATTGAACTTCCCAGAGAAGCATCCTGGGAATTTGACTTGGGCGAAAACACCAGTCATTAGACGCAAACACGCACGAGTCACTTCCCGGAACGGCTGGGTGTCATGGCAAGATGAGATGACAGCCTTAGAAGCACCTTCAGCCAAGGTAGTCAACCTGCAGGGACAGGGCTGGGTCCAACTCCGCCGAACTTCAGAGCCGCGGCCAAGATAGATGGCGACCGCTCCTCCACTTTCGTTTGTGGCCGCTGAAACGACGCGCCCCTGAGTCGAGTAGATGCCAACGGCCGGGGAGGGCAATCTTTCATGTCATCGTCGACAGTTGGCGGCTTCTGCTGCCGAATCCGATTGATCCCCCCCCTGGAAGTGTGGTGCAGGGCAGGATCTATGTATACTGAGTGTTGAACGCCATCGTGGTTTGTTGGCTTTTCTCCCTCAGCGTCTAGCTGTCTCTTTTTTCAACCCACGTTCCTTTCCATACTGACCTGTCGTCATTCATTCAGTCACTCTTTTTCTTCGTACACACTCTTTTCAAAGCCCGTCAGGATGAGGCTCACATTTTCGTTTCTTCTCAACGTTTCGCTGTCGCTTGCGCAGCTGACGACATCGTCGCTCGAGAAGCACGTCGACTCGGCGACTCTCGCCCACTCTTACAACCCCGTCAAGGAGGCCTACTGGACTGGCTACCCTCACCACCGTCGAACTCCCTTTGCCCTCTCGCCCGACGGCAAGACGGCCTACCTCGCTTATCTCGATGCCAGTGAGACGGACGTGCACGTCCAGCCCATCAACCCCACTACGTTTGCTGCCACCGGCACCTCTGTCACCATCAAGGGCGCCAAGGAGGCCGGTGGTCTCGTCGCCCACGACGATGGTTTCGCCCTGTTGACCAACGAGGCTCTTCCCTCTGGCACCTCCAACGCCCCTGCTGGCAACACTCCCGTTCCTGTTCTCTACCGTTACAACGCTGCTGGCACGCAATCCTGGAAGACCTTCCTCGGAGGCCCCGGCGTTGATGCAGAGAACGGCCTTGTCGCCTCGCCCGATCTCAACGGTGACCTCGTCTTCTCTGCCGAGGCTGGCTACTACGCCGCTTACTTTGTCGTGACGGCCTACAGCGGCTGGGCCGAGGGCCACTTTGGCGATGCCATCCGCTACGTCAAGCCCTGATGGCACGCTCGAGAACATCCCCGGCGCTTCGTCCTCGTGGGGCTGCAGCCACAACACCGGCATTGCCTTTGAGGCAGCCGATGCCCCTCCCTACGCGTCCATCTGTGCCGAGGACCAAGGTGCCATCTGGCTCAACACCAAGACGCAGGGCATGGGCAACAACGGCGTCAAGGTCTCCAACGAGAAGGTCATCAACGGTGGCAGCAACGAGCCCATGGGCGGAACTAGTGGCAGCTACAGCGGTCTCGCCCGTTTCGGCTCTGCCAGCGAGTACATCTTCTCCTGGGTCTCGCGCGGCGCCATCGACCTGACGGCCAACGACTGGATGGGCGCTGGCTACACCAAGTCGGCGAACCGCACCAGCAACCGCAACGTTGCCATCGCCCTCTTCTCCGACAAGTCGACCATTGTCGGCGAGCAGGCCACGTCTGTTGTCGGCGCCGCCGACGGTGACAAGCAGATCAACTGGGTCACCGAGGGCACCGCCGACTGCTCCAACGCCCACGTCGCCGCCTTTGACGCCTCGCAGGCCCTCGTCACCTGGGAGGAAATCGCCAGCCCCATCTGCGACTTTGAGGCCATGGGCTGCCGCGGCAAGTTCACCGGCACCCACTACCAGCTCGTCAACAAGGCCGGCGAGAAGGTCGGCAGCCCCATCGAGTCCCTCGACACCACCGTCTCCGGCGACCTCGTCACCATGTCGGACGGTAGGATCTGCTGGCCCTACGTCAACATGGAGTGGCGCCTCGACGCCGTCACCCGCGCCCTGCCCGACTCGACCACGAGCGACATCTCGTTTGCCTGCATCAGCCTCGGCGGTGCCAGCTCCCCCGCCGAGCCCGCCCCTGAGGCCCCTGCCTCGTCCGCCGCCGCCGCGCCCGTCTCCTCCGCTGCCGAGACCGAGGCTGCCGAGACCGTTGAGACCGAGGCCGCTGCCCCCGTAGTTCCCGCCCCTGCCGCGTCCGAGCCCGTCGCTGCCGAGTCCGCTGCCCCCGTTGACAGCGCCTCCACCGTCGAGGCTGCCCTTCCCGTTTCTCCCGAAGCCAGTGAGCCTGCCGCCCCCGTCGACGAGTCCTCTTCCATCCCCGCCGCTGTGCCCACCGCGCCGGTCGCGGAGCAGCCGCCCACCGATGTCGTCGAGTCGAACGCCCCCGTTGCCCCGGCCCCTGAGATCACCGAGGCCCCCGTCGCACCCACCCCAACGGACGGATACGAGCTGCCTGCCACGTCCAAGAAGTGCAAGACCCAACGCACCGTCTGGGTCACCGTCACCGTGAGCGCTTAGAGCAGCAGAACCATGATCCTCACGTAGCGCTGGTGCAAAAGGAGGGGAGTCAAGGATAAGGAACTGGAAAAAATCTTTCTTCATACTTTGTACATATTTTTCACATATTCCAACATGGGCCTTCGGGCTCGGATTTGACGCAATTTGAAGGATTTCCGTTCGAGCATTTCATGGTGACTGTTGCTTCGTGATTGCGGGTCTATCGTGCCGGCAGGGTCGCCATGTCGGGTATTCTGGTCCATGCCTCGAGTGTTTCCTACAAGGTTTCGCCATCACACGCTTGTACTGCCAGGTTCCGGGACTAGACAGATCTTTGGTCCGCAGCTTCTGCGTTGCCGTCTCATAAGGCGTCCTTCAGTGCCAGCCATGATTGTTGATAGATGTCATTGTAGCTTCCTAGCAGGCGGTATTCACGTTGAGATATGGAACGTCGTTCGTATGCGAATTGAAAACTGGTTGGTTTCGACGTCTTGGGTCGTTATACAATCCTCTGGTTATACACTGTGATGTACAGTTCTCTCCTTCTCTTCTTCAACCCCTCCCCCTTTGGTCTATTCTATGCCGTTATTCAGAGGAACTTTCCGGATGGGTTGGCGCCCCGCCACATCCCCTTGATTTCTGCAGCACTCTTGTTAGCAGAGTTCCCCTGAAATGCAGGTTCTCTGTCCCTGGCAACTCACGCTCCATGCAATGCGGGCAAACGACGTGTTTCCTCTTTGGTTGACCACACCCAGGACACTTGCAGATCGACGTGACATCCTGCAGAGCCTTGCCAGCCATCAAGCGCGATCGTTTCTTCGAGTGCGTCGTCTTCTTCTTGGGCACAGCGCGCAGGATGCCTTCCCATATGCCCTCGAGCCAGCCGGGGATGTTGAGCGAGATGGCGGGTAGAGCGGCGGATAGCCTCGGGAGAACAGGTTGTGTGACTTGCTGGGCGAACATAGTCCATGTCCTCGAGGAGCTGAGCATGGTGGCGGCAGAGAATCGGGGGAGGAGAGAGGTTGTCGTCGAAGCTGCGATGGAGGCCATGGTGTCGGGATCGAGGTAGGCGCCGCCTCACCCACTGTGTTTGTTTTCGCGGTCGGTCTGGTATTGGGGCGGAGTTGGCGAACGTCTGGCTGGCAATGAAGCTCGTCCAGACCGAGGCGGGGTATTTCCTTTTCGGTGTTCGGCGCGAGACAGCAGGTCGTTCGGTGATCAAGGATCGCGTGAGGTGCGTCGAGGTTGATGACTTCGCTTCAGATCTTGCCTCAGAAAATCCAGCCGGGGCAATGTGGTCCAAGCTTCCGTGTCAATTGAGAACCAACGACGACAACCAATAAGACACGGTTCAGAGCACAGACAGCTCCCAGCCAATAGCAATTGCCACCTGCCCCTTCCCCCTTTCCTGGACCCCTGGCTCTTGCTCTGGACGGAAATTGTGTTTGCTGGGGGAAGGGGCATCCGCGAAGAAATTCCACGTCCCTCCCCTTTGGCCTACAGCGGCTTCACTTGGAACCACCTCGCATCATCCCATCTTACCCCCTGCCCGGCCCCCCCAAACCCTCAAAGTCCCGACTTCGACATTTCTCGTCCATATCCAGCGCGCGACTCGACGACCCAACTCCCTGCCAACCTCCCATTATCGTCGCTTTCTTGGAATAGAGAACAGCATCTCAAGCTACACTCTACTACCACTTCCCCAACATCCTCCTCACCCCCACAATCTACCAGTCCACCGACACTCGCTTCACGCGAACAAAAAGCTATCACAATGGCACAGACGCAGCAGCCTTCAACCATCTTCCCCCAGTCCCACGTTGGTTTCGACAGCATCACATCCCAGATCGAGAAGAAGCTGTTGAAGCGTGGTTTCCAGTTCAATGTCATCTGCGTTGGTAGGTCGACCCCGTACACCGTCAGCTCTGTGGTCCTAGCTTCCCTGCTCCCTCTGGGATGCATGCGTGGACCCTGAATCCCTTCACATTGACCGTGACTGACGAGAACTGCACACAGGCCAGACGGGACTGGGCAAGTCGACCCTGATCAACACCATCTTCGCCTCTCACCTGATCGACTCCAAGGGCCGCCTGCAACCCGACGAGCCCATCCGCTCCACCACCGAGATCAAGGGTGCTTCCCACATCATCGAGGAGAACGGCGTCCGCCTCCGCCTCAACATTGTCGACACCCCTGGCTACGGTGATCTCGTCAACAACGACCGCTGCTGGGATCCTATCGTCAAGTACATCAAGGATCAGCACTCCGCGTACCTGCGAAAGGAGCTCACCGCCCAGCGCGAGCGCTACATTCAGGACACGCGCATCCACTGCTGCTTGTTCTTCATCCAGCCTTCCGGCCACTCCCTGAAGCCCATTGACATTGTCGTCCTCAAGAAGCTGTCTGATGTCGTCAACGTTGTTCCCGTCATCGCCAAGGCCGACTCCCTGACCTTCGAGGAGCGCCAGGAGTTCAAGGCCCGTATCAAGGAGGAGTTCGCTTTCCACAACCTCAAGATGTACCCTTACGACAACGAGGAGTTTGATGACGAGGAGCGCACTGTCAACACCGGCATCAAGGTCAGTCTTGCGACGCCTACCATTGCTCTCTGTACCGTGCTAACGCGCCCCCACAGGACATGATTCCCTTCGCTGTCGTCGGCTCCGAGAAGTCCATCATCGTCAATGGCCAGCAGGTTCGCGGTCGCCAGAACAGGTGGGGCGTCATCAACGTCGAGGACGAGAACCACTGCGAGTTCGTCTACCTGCGAAACTTCCTTCTCCGCACCCATCTCCAGGACCTCATCGAGACGACGTCTCAGATCCACTATGAGACTTTCCGTGCCAAGCAACTGCTCGCCCTCAAGGAGAGCAGCGCGCACGGCGGTAGTAGCCGACCCATCAGCCCTGCCGCCGACCGGGAACTTAGCAGGGGCTCGCAACGGATGACCATGAACGGATACTAGGTGGGCTAGCTTGGGCATGACGTGAATTCCTGTGGCCTTCAGCTTGTGATTCCGCAGCGGCCAGTGGATGGACGCCGTGCCAGATGTGCTTCCGTGTTTGGTGTGTGATAACAACCGTGAAGAGGCACAGGCGAGCCTTCCGGCCCGGAAACTATCTAGAATACGCAGGATGTTCAGCTGTTGCATCTTTCCTGAAAGCATGGTACAGTCAGTCAGGGGCGATCTTGGGGGCTGTCTTCATAGTCGTCTCCAGCGATACGCACGAGGTCCATTCGGGGCGGAGCGAAAACGAAAAGATCGAACGGCGTGGCGCGAGGATTCAGGTTAATACCCCCCTTTCCCCCTCCCGCCGACCGGACGGGGTAGCTGTTCTTTTTTTTTTTTTACAAGTATTTGTGTGCGTGTTGGTCAACCTGGTAGTTTATTCCCCCCCTCTTATTTCTCTTCCACTCCCACTGGACGCACGTCGGCTCTGTTTCTTCACTTTCGACTATTTCCGCTCCCCCGAACTCGTCCGTCTTCTCTTACGCTTTAATCAGACATGTGCTCTGCTAGAGAGGCTGTCCCGGTACTGTGGAATACATATGCCTTATGACACTGACTTGTCGCGTCGTCTCATCGTACCTGTGAATCATGGTGTCTGCTAATTCCATGCAATCGTTGACGTGACAGGAGCTTCTTGAGCTTATGATTAGCCTGACCACGTGCTGCACACGTTCGTTCGATGCCAGTCAGATGACACGTTGGCGAAGCCATGAAAAGAAGTCACAGACGATGGTGGCCACGGCACCACACTTATGAAAAGGATCTCGTCGTGGGGATATACCGTCGAGGCCATGATGTGGCCACCAAGGAAGGGTCCACCACATCACACAGACATGCACGGCTCAACAACACGGCACCGAGTCATCCCTAATCCCAACATCATCTACCATCACACGCAATTGGGACGAAGCAACTGTATGGATTTGAAGTAAATAAAGAAACTTGACAGGCTGAAGCAGGCCTGGAAGATGACAACGACAACAACTGCTATGGCATGTTTATCCATTAACCCTTCGGTATCATCATTTACAAGGAATAAGTTATGGTCTATCCATCACAATCATCACCCCGCTCATCAAGAACGACAATTACAGCAAAAGGATAGCAATAGGCGCCGCAATTGCGAAGGCAACGGCGGGACGGACAGAAATGCCGGCGCTATCGTCGTTGTTGGCAGTGCCGCCATTGGAAGTGGATGCGGGTGAGGATGCTGAAGATGACGTGGGACCAGCACTCACGCTTGCGGTCGAAGCCTCGTTGTTGCCGGGCTTGTTTGACTCATCGTCAGCGAGGGGCTTGACGGAGAGGGTGAGAAGGTTCCAGTTGGCATCCCAGATCTTAAAGTCCGAGTCAACCTCCCAGTTGGAGATCTTGACGAGTTTGCCAGAGGGCTTGTTCTCGATACCGTTGTCGATGAGCTCCTGAGCGCCAGGAGGAACATCAGGCAGCGTGAAGTTGGCGTTGAATGCCTTCGTTTTGATGAGGGAGGCGTCGCACTTGGGAGGTTTGGGGGAGTTCTTGGAAGGCTTAGTGCCTTGCAAGGTCTTAAAGTCGAGCTTCGCATACTGCTCGGCCAGCAGTTGGAAATCCTCGAGAAAGTGAACTGAGTGTCTGTAAACCTGAGCAAGGCGAATTGTGAGTCTCCTGGCTGAAATCGTAAAACGGACCCACCAGAGAAGACGCCGGGTCATCTGGTCACGTAGATGGTGCCGACCTCGGTGAAGGGACGGGGAGTGACTTTATTGCAGCCATACTCGGAGAGGAAGACGGGGACAGAAGTATCCTTGAGACCATCGACAAGATCGTCATAGGACGACGTGTCAAAGTCAGACTTGCCGCACCAGGAGTAAGAGTTGAGGCCAAAGAGATCGGCGCGGCTCATATCGTCCTTGTCCTCATCATGGGTGCACTGCATGTAGTTCCAGGTATCCCAGAGGTACTCGCGGACATCGGCAGCAGAGTATCCGACGGGGATCTTGCGGTCGGCATGGTTGGCAATGTAGTTCTTCAGGTCGCGTGTAACGGCACGCAGGTAGGGAGGGACATCGACAACTGTGGCTTCGTTGTTGATTACTTCGTTGGCCGAAAAGAAAAGAAGGGTGTTCGGGTAGCTCTTGAAGGCCTCGACCATAGCAAAGGTACGGTTGAGGTACTCCTTGTAGTAGCTGGTCCACGGCTGCCAAGCGGTAATGGCCTCGCCAGGAAGGGGCGAGTTGACATCGATGAGCATGTACATGCCCGCGGCGTTGAAGATGGAGGCGCACTCGTCGTGGTTCAGGTTGGGATCGAGGTTGTACACGCGGACAGCGTTTACGCCAAGAGCCTGCATAATGGCAGCATCACGGAGGCAGACGTCCGCCTCGGACAGAGGGTCATGGCCGTGGGCAGGGTCGTAACCAGCGGCACCATTGATTTGGTAGTCGATACCTACGATCTGGAACTTGTTGCCGGTCTTGGGGTTCACGAAGGCATTGCCTTGGACCTCGAGGGGAGTCAGGGCCGCGGTCAGACTGGCGCCCAAAGCGACAAGAGTGGAGGAGAGCTGGTGCGAGCTTGAGTCAGCATTGATGAAATCAAATGTCCAAATCGGCTGGCAAGAATGCCCTGGCCAGAAGAAGAGGCGTCGGACCGGGTTAGAAACTGCTTTGTTTCGACGTGGGTAGGTAGGGAGGGAGCCAGATGCACTCCACATGACGGTGCTTCGACGAGCCAACTGCCCAGCCAGGGGCCCAAGTGCCAGGTCCCAACTGTCTGGACAAAGTGCCAACGAAGGAGAGCCTCCGGAAGGGTGCACTGAGCCAATGACAAGCAAACGCGCCGGGTTTAGCGACAACTTACAAGCATGGCGAAAGAATTGCGTCGTTCCGCAGAAGCCAAGTTACTGTCCAAGATTCGGTCGTCTGGGTAGAGTAGCTAGCGGATGTTGTGATGTTTGCGTGGAGTGGGAGTTGTGCAATTTAGAGGGTCCAAAAAGCGTAAAAGTGCAGAGAGTCGATGGAACCAAAAGAGTGGCCGAAGACGGGAATTAAAGCAGACTGAATGAGTGTCGAGAAGTGAGTTTGAGCAAAGGACGATGCAACGCAATGCTATGCAAACACGTACGTTGCCCAGGCGTCTCCAACGTCGGGCAAGAGCGAAGCTGAAGAACGGAGAGGAGAAGGAGGGAAGGGTGAACAGACGTCCGGGGAAGTCGCATTCATGACGGATGTCGGGAAGGAGGTTCTCGTCACATCACGACCACCCTGGACTAAGGGAGTCCACTCGAAGCATATGTCCTCCAATCAAAAGAGAATCGCGGTCGCGTGTGCTAAGATTACAGGCCCAAGCTAACCATCTCGGGCCCTCGGCCGCCCACCCTTGCCTGCGATGTTGTGTAAGGCGTGGGTGAATAGGTACATAGTACAGCCTCCCGACGGAATACGATGCACCTAGTACCTAACTGATTAGGCGTGGTGTGCCCCTGCATTTTCTGCACTTCAGGGCCCACGACCCACCAGACTAACTGGGCATCAAACGGCTAGGTGCCTGCTTCAGAACCGTCCTCAAGATTCTTTCCACGCAGGTACGATCACGTTGCATGCATCATCAGCGTCCCTGCTGCCCTGGCACTACCTGGCCACAAAACAAATGAGAGGAGGAGAGCAAAAGTCTCGCCAAAAAATTGAGACGGTCAAGACAAACACGGAACGATGCACCATTCGCCTCTGTGTCTCCCTACACAATCGGAAATCATTTTAATCTAGACATCTGATCTCGTCAACCCCGCCTCCCTCGAAGCACCTACCACCAGTCTTCCATCACCAGAGAAAAATACCAAGCCATGCACAGACCCGGATCCGAGACCAAGCCTTTTTTGAACAGAAAAAGACGCACCTACCTGGGAAGTTCCCATCCTTGGTACACTGCAATTCTCGAGTGCGTGTGGAATCCTCTCTTCCACTGAGAATGGCGCCAAGCTCCGTCCCTCCATTCCTCTGTCCCCGTATCTCGGCTCGACCGGCCCTCTGTGCGATACGAGACACCACATGAGCAGAGAGGCCGGGGGCCAGTAGCCGCAATCGTACCGACGGTCAGTGGGGGAAGTGCCATGTGCTGACAGTCTATGCTACCTAGTGCACCAGTCGATGAAAATACATTTCGCTATGCAGCAAACACCATTGAGTTTGAGGAATTCGTTGCCCTAGGAACTGAACACTTAACTTCGAGGTCCGCTACGACTTTGTTGTCTGGTCGTCTCCTCAGCCGTCTCTCTATCCTCAACCTGTGGCAAGATACACCCCTCGGTGACCGGAAGCCGCGTGGTCGAAAGTACCTCTGGCTTTTCCGAACTGTGAGCCTCGCCACGAATCCACGCCCAGAAGAAGACACCAGGGTAGATTTTGTTCTCACGCTCGATCTCGCCTTCCTTGGTCCTGGCAATGAAGACGTTGCCCAATATGGCCGCTGCAACGACACACTGAGGCCGCACGTGTCAGCAGCGATTTCAGCCCTGAGCGTCATTTTGATGAACTCACAAGCACCATGAACGGAGAGATGGAGATGTACGCCATCACAATGCCCTTTCTCGCATCACGCGCCATGGCCGCCAACTGGCTCGCATCCATGTCGTGCAGCGCCGCAAAGTCGCTTCCGCTATCCTCAATGCCCGCCACGTTGTTGAACACTGTCGTCATGACAGTCAAGCCTAGTGTACCACCCAGTGGGCCCGACACTTGAGCGAGTGAGATGACGGCCGCTTTTCGCTGCGGGAAGTAGCCCATGCCATGGAGAGGCACGGGCATGAGCCTCATGCCGACTCCGACACCCGACAGCGCCATCATGCCGTAGACTGTGGCATCGTGCTCGATCCAACATGCCCATGCTAGTAGCCCGATGCCGAGCGCCTGGATGACAGAGCCGAAGAAGATGGGATGCCATGTCTGGCCAGGGTTGATGTTGCACATGTACATGGCCGCGTACACGCCGGCTGTTTGCTAGGGTCAGCAGATGAGTATCCCGGCTGCAAAATTACACGAAACTGACCTGCAGGACCAGGAATAAAATAGAGAAGCTGCACGCCTGCCTCGTCGGCACCGAGCTGCTTCACCATTGTGAAGTAAAAATTGCAAAAGTACATGACCGAGTACATGGCCATGCCCGTCGCGAAGGACGTGTAGAACAGTAGAGCGATGTCACGATTGACGAGGACCTCCCAGGGAATCATCGCACGCTGATGATTGAACCTCCGCGCCAGCATATTTCCCGGTACCATCTGGTATTCCCACCACACGAAGGCCCCGATGATAAAGATGCTTGAAATGAGGGGCACAAGCACGGCCGGTGTGTTCCAGCCGTAGGTCGCACCCGCCCAGGTAAAAGATAAGATGAGGAGGGAGAAGCCGAGCAGAGACAACACCTGGCCGCCAACGTCAATGGTCCGAAGACGATGCTTGAATGTTGTTCGACGGCCCGTCTCGACGGTCTCTTCGAGTCGCGGGATAGGTTGGGGGCCGAGAAGCTCCTTTCGCAGGACGATGAATACGACTGCCATACCTACTACACCAACAGGCAGGTTAACGCCGAAACACCATCGCCAGTCTGCGCTCGTGAGGTATCCTATCAAACTGTTAGTTCATGTTTCTACGTTGGCGGTGGCAGCGCCATTTCGCACCTCCGACCACTGGACCAATCCCGTATGACACGCCGCCGATAATCGTAAATATGGACCAATTCTTCGCGTCCTCGCCGAGCGAGACCTTGTCGGCGACGATGGCCCGCACTGAAATATCCATACCCGCACTGCCGAGCCCCTGAATCGCTCGTCCCAGGAGTAGCACGGCGAAGGCGTTCGTCGGCGCTGTGGTGCACAGCGCGCTGCCAACGACCATAATGAGCGTCGCAGCCTGTATAGTGGTATGCCGGCCGAAAATGTCAGCGATCTGGCCCCAAAAGGGGATGAAGGCGGCGGAGGTCAGGTTGAAGGCGGATATGATCCAGTTGAGCTGGGCGAGCTCGCCAAAATCGGCGGCGATCCAGGGCAGAGCACTCGCTATGATGGTCACGTCGAGGGCGGATACTGTAAAGGGGAGGAAGAGGCCGAGTATGATCTTCCATCGGTAGGTCAGCTGGGCACGGCGGGCGGCGACGCAGACCTCGCAGCGGGGACTGATGCCGTGCCTGCATGCTTTGCTGGGTGTGTCGGTGGGTTGCGGAGAGGTAGAGGATGCTTCCGAGGATGGATTTTTGTCGGTGAGTTCACGGGAAGACGCAGAATCGGGAGGAAATAAGAATTTGTAGAGCTTTTTTGTCGTGTAGAGGAGGACCATGGTTACAAGTAAGAGATTGCCTGGTCTACGAAGTCAAATTACAGATATGATGAGGTTTGTAAAAGTAAGTATGCCACAGAAACAAAAACTAATGCTGAAAGTTATATAACAACCCCCAGAAGAGGGGCTGCTTGATGATGCTTTTTACTCGTTGGACATAGCCATGCGCTGATCGAACCTGTCACCAAGAGGGAAAGGTATCCCAAGAGGGAAAGGTATTCGAAGGAAGCGGAGCAGGCAAAATGCTCCGCCTCGCATAATACTGCGGCTGCGTGGCAGAGACCTTCTACGACTTCTCACGGCGGGCAAAGGAGGGCCAGGTAGGTCAGACACCCAGGGTCGATTGTGCATCATGCTCGAATGGACTTCCCAAGAAGGAAAGGAGGGACGGCCACAGCGATAGGGCTGAGGCTCTGTTCAATGACTGGCCATCAAGATACGCCTCCACTTGCTCCCATGGGATCGAGAACGGAGTTGACTCGCTGGCAAGCGCTGGCAAGCGCTGGCAAGCGGGTTTGGGGATGCGGCTCATGCTGTGCTACGGCGATGTGGATGGCATCTTCACCACTGGATCAGGGGCTGAACATTCGACGCTATGCTGCCTTGGGAAGTCGATTCTGTTGGTGGTATTCGCCTGGGGCTTCCAGCGGTCACCTGATGCCAGGTGGCCTGTGCCCTGGCACCTCCCTCCTATAGCTTAGTTCCAGGCACCCTCCTGCCCTAGAGAATAGCTTCCCAATACACGCTCCTTTCTCCTCCCTAGACCTCCAACAGATTCGAGGCCCAATTCGGACATCCATTCGAGCACCCACTGACTGAGTGCCCTACGTCATCCGCGGCAAATGTGCTTAGCTAAGGTTCAGTCAGTCCCACGTGACCCGGATCCTTCCCCTCCCCTGTCGAGGCAGCTGATGTCACGGGAGGCATCCATTGACCCGTAGCATCCGTCTGTCCTAGGCGTGTTTAATGAGGCGTGTCACTGGCGCTGGTCACTACTCCAAAACCGTCGAACGGACATTGACAAGCCAGCAATGCTCGAGTATCAAGCGATGTAGCTCGTGCCCAAGCAGCGCCTTTGATGCAAAACAGCTCCGGGGGAAACATTCAGTGACGAAGAATCCATCTGTCCTTCCGAGGCGAAGTCGCGACACGGCAACAAGGCGGACGATGGAGCTATATAACCAAGCCAGCTTCATCTTGGACCGCATGACTTTGTAGGGAGGGCTGACCAACGCAGCGACATTCGAGGAAGCACGCACACGGCACAAGTGCCGATCCGGTCGTCCGTCGTCCTGATCTAGGCCACGTCTCGTCAGCACCTCTCTTTCGGACCGCAATCTGCATTCCGAATCCTCAGAGGGTCCGCCTTCTGGGAACATCTGGTGCTCGAGGTCGACTGAACGACTTCCGAATTATCTCCAATATATCGATCGATCCGTCAGGCCGTGAGAAGCAACCTGCACCCCGCAGCTCGGCCGCAATCTATTACGCCCGTCAAAGCCCCCAGGCTCTAGTCAACGCGTGCGGCGCCGACGGAGGGGACGTGGGACAGAGAGGGGTCCTTTTTTGTTTCTCTCCCTCCTCTATACCCCAGTGCGCGTCTCTGGGCACATGTCACCAAGAGAGGTTACATCATCCATACGATTGTGCCAACCTTCTCGGTACCCGCACAACCACGAGTACAGAACACAGGATCAGCAGCCATCAGAAGCACCCAGCGTCGTGATCCTCCTTGACCAACGGATGAGCTACGGCAACATTTATTTGAATACACCCTTTCTCAACCCGTCTCACCTTTGTTCCATCTGCCAGATCTAGCAAGCCTTGACAGAGTGAGGAAACGGAACACCATTACCGGGCAACCATCAGTACAGCCTATTCTATTCTTGGTTCCTTTTCCTTCACACCTCAACACCAAGCACGACGCCCAAGCACCACGTCCTCCAAATCAACCCTCCGAGTGGGCCACCCCGACGACCCCAGCCCAGCGGCGCGAGCCACGCAAAGGTGACATCCCTTCGTCCCAGCAGGCCAGCATTCAACCACCGCCCCACCAAGATCAGCTACGACATCCTTCTGCCCGAGATACGGGGCGCCCTCCAGGAACGCTTCCCTACCGACACCAAGGCACCAGCGGCGTCAGTTTTCTTGACTTTGGCTCCCCCCCCTCCAACATCGACCCCGTGGGGTTTTCCTTGTGGGCCCTCAATCGTTCTACGCCGCTCGCTTCCGGCGACCCTTAGAGACCTGAACAGACTGCCCAAGGCTTTCGTTTTCCTGGCGTGTGTCACTGCTGAACCCTTTTTCGCATAGTCGCCCACAGCACGGTTCCCTTGTCTGCTGACGCCGTCGCACCTTGAACCCGGTGAGTAATGCCCACCTGGCGCCTACAGCTTCTGCATCTGCAACCGCATCCGCATCCCGCCTCTGGCTCGTGATAGCCCCCCCGTGCCTGAGCCGTCTCGCTGACAGATTGCAAAGCAGTCCTTCGTTGCATCCATCGCACCCGTTTGCCTGGGTGAATATCGCGCATTGCTACCCCTTCGAGCTGCATCACGTATCGCGCCGACAGCCGACTGCCCACTGTCCACTGTTGCGTGTCGTTTGGATTAGGCTCAAGTCTTGGCTCTGGTAGGTTAGCTTTTTCTGCATCGTCTCCCCTCTGTTACCTTTATCCTTGGTATCCTGGGCACGTCACCTGTGGGCTATTCCCGTCGAGGCTACTTCGCGTCGGTCCTACGGAGCCCGTTTCAAGTACACTCAGAGTCTCCACGACCCTTTGCCCTCTCCCTTTCCCTGCCTTTCACATGTAAGCGGCATCGAGTGCTGGCCGCAGGACGCAACCGACCAGGTCTCATGTGTACCGAGTCTCCATCTCAGACCCTCTTGTTACCCAGCCCTCATGCCTCAGGTCCCCTCCAACCGCCGTGGGGGTCCACTTGATCTCATCATGGTCTCTCCGAGCACATGGCACCCCATCTCACCCTGCTCGAGCCTGTTCGGTCCAGCTGAGCCGTCCATTGCCTTGAATCCGTTGCCCCGTTGCTATATTGTCGTCTTCCACCCCCCTTCCTGCCCTGACCTAGCCTGACATCTCACTTGGCCTTGTTGTTCCTAATCTCTGATCCTCTCATCCTGCCCTGCTCACTGCCATACACACGCATACACACATCTGTGAATCATTCATGTATCGTCACGAGTAATGCCATCGTACTGTCTTCAGGACTGTCACTACTTCTACCGCTCGGCGCTGCGTGGCTTGAACGTCAGCACCTGCGTCTCACCTCTCTACACTTGAGACTTTCCAGTTTAGCCCGGAAGCTGACAGCACGCCTACTCAGGTGCGAATTTTCTCCCGGCCCAAAAGCCTCGGCGAGACGCTCGCACAACCTACCACACTATCGTCTGTTCCTCGATCTCTTTCTGACGTCAACGGCAACTGGAAGCATCCTGACTTGCTCAAGACCAAGACCAACGGAGCCAACGGGCGTGAGCCCCACCAACGGCGTCATCGGTTACAAGATCACGGGTACCGACGGGAGGCCGCATCCATGGGTGTCTACGACGAAAAGTCCAAGGGCTGGTGTCACCTTTGCGCACCAGGATGACCTCCCGCATCTGCCCATCCCCGAGCTGTCAGAAACGACAGAAAAGTATCTTGCGGCCCTCAAGCCTCTGCAAAATGCACGAGAGCACGGCGAGACCAAGGCCGCTGTGGCCGAGTTTCTCAAACAGGACGGCGTCGAGCTGCAAGAGAAGCTCAAGCGATATGCCGAAAGCAAGACGAGCTACATTGAACAATTCTGTAAGTACCTTCTTTCATGTGCCGTGAATGACTGCTGACCATAGCTAGGGTACGATTCGTATCTCAACTACGACAACCCCGTCGTCCTGAATCTCAACCCTTTCTTTCTGCTCGAGGATGATCCTACGCCTGCAAGAAACAACCAAATCACCCGTGCCGCGTCGCTTGTGGCGTCCTCGCTGGAATTCGTGCGTGCCGTGCGCAGGGAAGAGCTGCCTCCGGACACGATCAAGGGTACGCCGTTGTGCATGTACCAATTCTCTCGACTCTTCGGCACTGCTCGTGTTCCTACCGAGAATGGGTGCCAAATCGTTCAAGACCCCGAGTCCAAACACATTGTTGTCTTGTGCCACGGCCAATTCTATTATTTCGATGTTCTGGATGATAATTCCGATGTCATCATGACGGAAAAGGACATCTCTATCAACCTCCAGACGATCATTGAGGACGCCGCACAGACCGGGATTCAGGATGCCGCCAAGGGCGCTCTTGGTGTCCTCAGCACCGAAAACCGAAAGATCTGGTCTGGCTTGCGTGACGTCTTGACGCGCGAAGAGGGCTCCAACAATGCTGACGGTCTTGCGATTGTCGACTCGGCGCTATTTGTGCTCTGTCTCGACTACACTGAGCCTGCTGACGTCGATGCCTTGTGCGGCAACATGCTCTGTGGTACAAGCGAGGTTGAGAAGGGCGTGCAAATTGGGACATGCACCAACCGATGGTACGACAAGCTGCAGATCATCGTCTGCAAGAACGGTAGCGCGGGCATCAACTTTGAGCACACTGGTGTTGATGGCCATACGGTCTTGCGGTTCGCTAGCGATGTCTACACAGACACGATCCTTCGGTTTGCCCGAACGATTAATGGACAGGCGCCAACACTCTGGGCGACAACCAGCCCAGATCCCTCGAAGCGCGACCCTTCCAGCTTTGGAGATGTCCACACGACGCCGCATAAGCTGGAAAGGGAGATGGGGGGCCGGGCTCAGGGTGGCTGGACGAGCGGCGAAGCACGCTAGCAGAGCGGGAGGGAGAGAGCGGTTCCGAGAGCTTAACGAGGGCTGAAGGAACGGCTTCGTTTTTGAGGGGGTCTTTGCTTGAGAGAGTAGGGACGCTCCTG